TTACAAAGAAAACTTAGATAAGGTTCTTTGAAGAAAATGTGTGCAGAGAAATTTTAGAACTGGCACCATAAATGTAAAATCGATGTTCTAATTGCAGCACCAATGAAAACAAATATATCATGAATCGTAAACAGCTCATATTTGATATCATCCATAACAGAAAAAGGTGAGTGAAGTGTAAATTTTTTATTAATAATTGCTTCATTCATATAAGCAAGATAGAATGATAGATCATTATTGTACAGAAGATAAAGACCTAAAAACAAAAGTAACCAATTAAGAGGTCCTTTTCTTTTCTTTCTTTCTTTCCTTCATTCATTCTTTTATTTATTTATTTGCACATGATATGTTCTGCGTAACACTTTGAAAACATGCAATACAGTTCTGCAGTCCCAAATACTAGTACAAGTCTTCAGATGATCAGAAAGTTAAGAAGAAATGGAGTACATGCAAAAATTGAAATCTATTCCTACCGTATTAAGAGGGAGCACATTCACCACAGATGCTGTCCCACTAGAAGTGCCGGAAATAGGTCCATCATAGCTAGGTGATCTTCCCCTTTTCTCCCAGTTTATCATAAGTGAACGCATTCTTCCTACATATTTAACATGAAATAGATTAGGCATATTTGCATTATTGACAAACCTCGAGTTGCAATCAGGAACAGCTATACCTCCTTTCTGGCTTTCAATGGAGGGTGCATCTCTGTTTATTTTACGTCCACGTGTCTCACCTGGAAGAAACATTAATATTTTCAGCTTAGGAGCCGCACAGTCCATCTCAACCGACAAAGGCGTGAAAAGTATGCCGATCTGAAGCCACAAATGTGCTAAGCAAATCAAAGTTCAACTGATAGAGTCAATGAAACATAGAGAATAAGCTGGGAATCATGCTCCATTCCATGAGTAAACAGCCCTATGATTTCTACCACCACTAATGCCCAAACATACATATTTAATTCTTCATTTTCAGCATCATCTCTGTCCTTCTCACGAAACTGCCCTTCCACCAGCCAAAAAGGAGGATACTTCACTAGATTTTTTTTATGGTGTTCCAAGCTATATGAGCCTTGGTTCTTCTTGAACCTGATACTCAATATTGACATAATCACTAACGAGGGCAATGTATTAATGTGATTATCGGCATTTGAAGAAAAGCAATGAATTTCAACTAACTTGGGCTGCCATATACAAGTTGCAAGGGCTGATTTGATCAGCTAAACCTAGATACTATCAAAATGAAGCCTTTTCGGTCCCATTTTCAACTGTACTTGATCAAAATATCATCTGTAAACCTTAAAATTGTTTTTTCTAAATCACAGTCAACGGTAAAGTAAGTCGCTTATCTATACATAATTTGTGCCACTGCCATCCTACAACAAGCATACCAGAAGGCCTAAGTACTTTGTAATACCCTTACCATCAATTTCATCATGGAAGCCTATCCCAAGTCCATTATAAACCAACCAAATGGCAACTATGAAGCATCCACAAAACATCAGCATCATACACTTATATATCCACAGACAATGACAATCGGTAGCTAAGAAATTTTTCTTAATTGGTAACACTTACAGTTTTCTTCCTGGTAACTAGTGTGTGGCTCCAATGTCAATTTTGACTCACAGTTTCCCGATCCAATAGATCCATCATCTTTAATATTCTGTTCAGCAGTTGATATTCCATGAATCGAGCCTTTAACTTCAGGAGTAATATTCCTATCAGTGACACTGACCATTTCTGTAGGCTTGCAACCTCTATTCTCAGGAGGCTGGATAGAGGTAGTTGGCTGGTCCATGTCCTCTCTGCTATTTGAAAATTTCCGGAAATCAGTTGTCTTTGACTGCAACGAAAATGGCATTGTCCTTGCAGCAATACCAATTTCTTTTCTGGAGTCAGCTACTTGCTCCGATCTTGAGCTAGTTCTAGGGACAATTACAGGTATGACATCTGCCTTGTTTAAGACTGGAACATTAACAGCTGAATGGACCTTCGTAGAACTCCTCTTTGGGGCTGCTGTGCTAGGAACTGTTATTGGACCGGTCATAGTTGTCTTCAACCCAGTGTTTAAGTTCGCTCTTTGAGGAGTACCAGGTACATTTCCTGCAGCTTTAATTAGAATATTCAACCAGGAACGAGGAACATATGTCACAATCTGGCTTAAGGAATTAATTTAAACCGATTTTTTAAAAAGAAAAGGGAAGGAGAAAAATACAATCAAAAGCCAAAAACAACAGCTACTTACAAGGCAAGATCTTTGATTCTTTAGAAGAATCCTTCCCAGGATCTGAATTTTGAGAAACTGACAACCTTCCAAGAGATTTTGTTTCCTTTACCAAAGCATCAGAATTTTGTGAAACAGATAACCTTCCCAAAGTAGTCTTTGCATTGTTCTCAAGCAAGACTGATTGGTTCCCAATTGCACCGGATTTAGATTCTGAATGACCATTGAATCGGTTGGCATTGCCAATTGCATACGGTTCAATACGCTGAGCAAGGGACACACCAGACACATCAGGTCAAGGTTCACATCTAAAATATCAGCACCAGAAAGCAAACGACAATCGCACACCAATAGAAATTAAGATACAGGGCGTATTACCGAAATATCTACAACCCACACTCCGACACAACTCTGATTGTATGAGCAGCCAAGAAGCTTTCCTTCATGAACATTGAGATCTGACAATCTGGACCATCCCACATCCACAGCATCATGGCTTCTTATTGGTTCCCAGGAGAAAACCTAAAAAGTTGCGTCGCAAATTTAGCAAAAACCAGTAGACCTGGAGAATTACCTCTCTATATATAGACTGAAAAAGAACTTACTTTCAAACTTTCATGCAATCCACAGAGTAGAGTCCTCCCATCAGGATTAAAGGTCAAACAACGCACTCCACTTGTCTGAAGGGAGAGAGGTTCCACAAAAAAAAAAAAAAAAAAACATTCTCTCATAAGAGGGGAAAAAAGAAAAGTAGAAAAGATTTATGTTCCCAAGTTGATGAGAAAAGGCATCCTTTAAGGCATAAAATTACCTCCGGCCCTGCAGAACCTATTAGCTCAAAGGTTTCAAGGTCCCAAAATTTTACAGTCCTGTCAGCAGAACCTACACAAAGGCAACAAATCAAGGCACACAAAGATGTACATTTTCCAGGAAAATGCAAAAGATTAAGATAAAGGTCAAAATGCATGCTATCAAGGGAAGAATTACCAAGTATGATAAATCACAAAGCAACACCGTGAAAAAACATGCAACAAAGAATAAACATGTGTTGAACTGTAGATTAAAAATAAAATGACATCACAGTTAACAAGTTGCTTTGCATAGAATCATAATACTGACCTGTTGCAAGAAGAAACTCATGGGGATGAAAATCTATGCACTGAATCTGGCCCTCATGGCACTTGAAATCATGCAATAGCTTTCCAGCAGTCAAATCCCACAGCTGTTGAAATACATGCACATTGCAGAGTTCGTTAAATAAAGAATCAAGAATCAAACAAAAGAAATCTGTATGTGTGGTCATCTAAGTAAAAAAAGAACCTACAAGTTGTAGACACAATAAATATGACTCTAATGCATCCATCAGTTGTATTGAATTGAGAAAGAATTGGGTCTGAACTTAGTGTCAGACCCTTGGCACCAGGCACAGTGTGCTGGGCCGAAATATTTGTGGCTAAACTCAACTCTCGTAAATTCAAGTCACAGGGTGTGTAGTGCATAGCCATGACTATTTAGAGTGCAACTAAACCAGGTTGATACCCCTCTTTTTGCCGAATATGAAGATATAAAGAAAAGAAACCGGGCAGCAGAAATGCATATAATTGTGTGCAATTTAAGGTCCTTTAACATGAGGTCCTTATCATGTGGGTCAAAGGACACAGGACCTTTAGTATTTGCCGGGATGATTTGTGTGAGTGTAGACATGACATACGCCAAGAGAAAGAAAGGGGTTATAACCTTTACAGTATTGTCCTCTCCACCAGATACAACCCAACGACCATCTGGGGTAAATCTGATTGCATTGACTCCTCGAGTGTGGCCCTTGTATGTGTGAATACAGCCCTTCTTTCTGATATCCCATATCTTAAGATTTGTGTCCAGGGAACCAGATGCAAAGAACTCTCCAAAAGGGTGAAAGTCGACAGATATGCAATTGGATCTGTGACCAGTGAGTGTGCGAACAACTACAAACAGAATACATGTCAATTGATGAATTTAAAAGACAGAAAAGATAATTAGTAAAAAACAATAGAAATATGCAAGTAAATTCCAATATTTATAGAATTGAAAGAATCCATCACAAGCATACTTTTGGCCTCCTCTAAATCCCAAAGCTTGATTGTACCACTTGCAGCTCCAGCAGCTACTAGGACCTCTGAAGAATCAAAGCTTACTGAATCAACCCCACTTGTATGTCCGGACAAACTCTGCACGAAAATGTTGGATTAGATGGAATGAAAATCATCAGAAACCAAACCAGAAAGAAAATGGTAACAGAAAAAAAATGATTGACAGAACCGAGAACTGACCAGTATAGCATTGGGCTTACCGATAGCCCAGAGATTGACCTTGTGATCTTCTCCTCCGGTCACAAGAACCCTGGATGATTTCCTGCCAATCTTGAGGCAGTTGACACTCGAAGAATGCGCCACAAATTCCTCTTTTTAAGCAATTTAAAAACGATTTGTGGTCAAGGCCAACAACAACAATTACTACTGTTATCAATTAAGCAACAGTTTATTCAATGGAGTATTATTTTTTTTTCCTACAAAAAAAAAAAAAAAAAACCACGACAGATCTGGAATGAATAGGACAAAATGCAGATAAAGGAAAAAAAAAAAAAAAAAAGGTAGCATAAGCATTGTAATGGGCATATTAAACCCTAAGTTGAAAGGAAAAACAAAATTGGGGAGGATACGCAGCTTGTAGGCGCGTTTAGTAGTCATGGCATTAAGAATCAAGCAAAGCAAAATGGAGTGAATAGAAAACCCTAATAATCAAGCAAATGCCGCAGCAGCACTTGTTTCTCTATACACATTCAGCAAAGTGTTTAAATCATCCTCGGCTTTAACCTGACAGAAAAGTTAAAAAAAAAAAAAACAAGCACAGATCTCGTTTAGGAAATTACAAATTACAAACAATAAGGAAAAAAAAAGATTGCAAGTATCTGTGCGTTAGCTAAAAAATAAAAACAGTGGTCGGATCAAGTAGATGGAAACACATACATTAGGTGTTGGAGTAGTTGAAAGGCACCGCACCTCACCGCTTCCTTTTCTTATTTTGTTTCTGTCTGTGCTTCTTTCTTCGCAAACGAAATTGAAAAACGACTCACTCTGGTACAAACTTATGTACTGACTGCTGAGTGATGGCGGAGGAGGAATGGATGTGGAAAAATATACACTACCCACTAGTAGTATTAGTAGTAAAGTAGTCCACTAACGCTGGTAATGAATTGAAATTAAGAAAGGGACGATTAGTCGATTATTAAGGAATAGTGTTTATTTATACGATAAATGGTAATGCAGATTTAGTAGTCTCCCAAAAGGAAATTGAGAAAGAAAATGAGAAACACACAGACGGACGGAATGTAACAGAGAGCAACCAAAGGCCAGAAAGAGAGAAAGGGGAAGAGGCGCTTTCACAAGAGAGATGTGTCTCTCAAAATAATAATTAATAAAAATAAATATTTTTATATATTTAACAAAATAATAATACTGGAGGGAAGTAAATTAGTTTCTAAGCGTAATAATAGTAATAGTTCAAATTAATCTCAGAGGGTGGGAAAATAGACAACGCGACGAATATCAAATAAGAGAAGAAAATTAAAAAAAAAAAAAGAGGTGTGTGAAAATTACCCATCGTCGTTGGGACCCAGAAAAATAATCAAATAAACCCAGCAGGCTACAAGGCCTAAGTGAGCTCAACCGATGGCGGGCCAGGGTCCATTCCAACTTTACTATTCACGTCTCCCTCCTTGCCTGAATCAAAATCAAAAATTCAAAGGCACTACAACATCAAACCCCACCACCCTCTCATTAACCTCCCTCACACCTTTCTCGTTTTTTTTTTTGTAAAAGTCAATATGCCCTGTATATGAATATAACTCCCAATAACACTCTTCTATGACATCATGACTTAACCTTTTTTACTTTTTACCTTTTTTATTTTTCATGTCAAATTTTACTTTAATTCTATTATGATTTGAAAATTTTCAACTCGGTATCAAATTCTATAACGTACTCCTCAATTCGTCTCGTGTTGTACAGATCTTTTATCTTGTTGGTAGAAGTAGAACCCATCATATACTTCGTAAAGTCAAATCCCGGGATATGAAAACTTACTGTGTACTTTCGATTTTGCTTCACACCAAAGAAGAAGCAAGGGAAGGGAAAGAAAAGGCAAAAGGCTCCTTTTTGGCAGATGCTTCCAACTGCTCCAGTAGGCCGTTACGATTCAAGGAACTTAAAAGTTACTTGAATAATGATAAACAAGCATAATTCTAACATGTCTAAATAGGAAGCAATACCCATAATTTTAAGTTACTTGAACAGTAAGCATGTTTATATAATTCCACATTGTAGGATGGAAGTTGGACATTCATCTCATTTAAACTATTTGGGAACGCAGAGGGACATATAATTCACAATTCGATTTGAAACCTGCGCTGCTTTCATGCCCTCAGTGCACAGCACTAGGTGAAACTAAAATGTCAAAGAGATACATCCCATCCCATTTCTCGGGATGGGATGACACCAACAAGCCGAAATCACCACCTAGAAAAAAATATCGGTTCACAATTCCTACAAGACCTTTCAATTGACGACTTGAACGTGGACTCCACTCTCATGCTGTGTGTTCATCTTATAGTCTCTTGTGCCATGCTAAAAAATGACTTCCCGGGAAGAAAAAGAAAATTGCGTGGGTGAAGGGAAGACTTGAACGGGGTTTGCTTTTTAGACTTTGAAGTACTTGTATCCATATTCCGGGTTTGTCATCCCTTCTTCCCAATCGCCCATCCGGCGACCCCCAAAAACTACCTGTTGAATACCTAAATATCTGCCATTAGGGAAAGAAAAAAGGAGAAAGTCAATTATGAGTTTGAATGAGTGAGCAAGGTGAATTCGAGGAAACTTGACACTATGCTCAGTCTTACTCTGAACTCAATACAGTTAAGCAGTTGAGGAGCACGTCGATGGCAAAAAAATCCGATGTACCAAGATCTACCCTGTTAAGGTATACATTTGTCATTTCAGACATCCTACATGTAACAGTTATGTAAGAAATATGGTATATGATCAAGGAAAAGAAAGTAAAAAGAGTCATACCAAACACGGCCCCAGTTATCCTGAAACTCAACATCACTGATATCATGAAATGATGATGGCATCACTTTGAAGCCCTTATCTGCATCATAGAGGGGATCATACTCCATAGATGAATTTGCCAACTGCCACATTGTGAATAGTAACATATTTGAATTTCATTTAAGGCTGACAGAAACAACCCAGAAAGGAAACCTATCTAACTACTAGCATCCATCTGATGCACTGTTCAATAAAAGTGGGAGAGGGGAAGCAGAAATTCCATCTCAAAACAAGTCAGTCACGTTACGGGAATATGCCACAGTAAATCCAATCACAGAATCACTTCTGTAACCAGTAACCGATAACTGAAAAAATCTTGCAATGTGCTCATTAAGCATGAATAAAATGACATAACTTAAGATATTGCAGTTAAAGCAGGTAAAAAACACAGTACGCAACAAGTAGATGCCCAAGATATGATAACAGGACGGGAAAGGTTGAGCAGAACAGCACCGATCAAGCATATATCCATAGAAGATGTATTAATTGTTGAGCAGCAAATAGTATACCTGCAAATTGGAAGAATTGAAACCACCCAAACGTCCCATTAGATACCAAGATTGAATCACCTGCAAGTAAGTAAGTAATTTGATCATATTTCATTATACCTTTTACCATGTCCATGACAAGTAAGAAATTGTAAATTAGAATTAGAAGGGTTAGCAATAGAGTACTGACAGTGCCAATAAGATCAACATCCTGATCAGAAGGAGAGCCGTAAAACTCAAACCAAATGTAGGAATCAATAGGGTTGAAATCTCGGAAGCTGACTTTGAAGGAAACAACAGAACCCGTTTTAGACTTGTGAAAGTTACTTCGGCCTTTCTTCCTCACTCTATCTTCCACTCTTTGCCTCATCAGTTCCGGGTTGCCTATGCTGTCACCAAGAAGAGCACGAAGTTCCTCGTCGTTTTTGCAAGCATCTTCAAGAACTCTGCAATATTGTAGACAGCCATTAATTTAGATTAGATTGGACTGGATTAATTTAGAGAGAGAGAGAGAGACTTAATTAAGTAGTAAAAGTAGTAATTACTTGGCCCAGGCAGGATAGTTGTGAAGGCGATCGTATTCTCGTTTCCTTTTATCGTCACGAAGTTTAAGCAATCTTCGTCCTCTAGCTGTCGTTCCGGAGACCACCAAAGAGCCGCTGTTATCATCTCTCTTGGTCTTCCTTTTTCCAATTCCATCATCCGAAGATGAAGAGATAACCAGTAGCTTCTTCTTATAGTTAGTAGTATTGCAATTATCGTTGTTATTGTTATGCGAGCATGATCCCCATCCCCGCCTTAAACCCAATTCCAAACCACTACTCGGCAATCGCATAGCCGACAAAGACACGGACATTTCTCTGTCTTTCTAATCCTCCACTACTGATCTACTTCTACTTGAGGAAAGAGAGCATTTTTATCTTTATCTTAAACTCCTACTCGGTACCGTTTCTCGTACTTGGTTTCTTTTCCTCCCTCCAATTATAATGGACCCAGCCTACTTTTGTATTGGACCCAATTATTATTAGCCCATTAGAAATTATTGGCCCATTTTTTCCACCAGCGGCCCCTCGAGCTTTCTTTATCCTCTGTTTATCTGTTTAACATTTCCCTCTGTTAACGCAAAACATTCTTTATTTTTTCAATTTTTATATCAATGGAGATTAAATTTATTATTTTCTTTCTAAACTAGGTCAGCAATATTTGTGCATTAATACTAAATTAGCAAAGATGGGACTTAATGTCCTAACAACTGGTCTTTAGTCATGATGTACTACAAAAACACACACTATACTTTATGTTAGAAAATAAAATGGAAAGGTTTTTGTTAAGTGAATACTCTGATCTTAGCTCCTCACAGACAGTGTCTTTAGATCTTAAGAAAGATAAGATGGAATTAACAAGGAAAACCATATTTTATTCGTCAAAATAAGATTGTTAACTTGAACCACCTGATTTACCACTGCAATTGTGCATATTTCTTCATTTTGACAAACAATGCCATTATAGAAGTATCCTTTTTCAGAAATTTGGCTTGATTAATTGAACCTACGAGGCCTAAATTGTTCCTGCTGCTGCAGTCGTTGAGAACATATTGATATTCTCGATTTCTGCATCCAGGCCTAACCATTCTATACTTTGCAAAATGACAATGGAAAGATGCTCTGCACCGAAGAGAAAAGGCCAGCTGCAATGTGCTATGATGGCTATGAGACTTCTCACTTAGCCGAGTGCACATCAAAGGTTGAATAACAAAATAACTAGAGATCCTGACTGCAATACTATTATAATTGACAAAAGTTGAATGCATACCTGCCAAATAAGAAGATTATTATTTCACTGAAAAAGCCAATGACATGTCTGTTTGATTAGGAGAAGCAAACACAGTTTTTGAAATGAGAGTTAGTCCCCTCTTGTGTAGCCTAAAAAGAGAATCAAACCAATCGCACAATAGAAATTCCAGTGCCAGCAGTGTTGCTAAGCTGCATTCTATGAAATGGGCTTCAAGATGTACATCTTGCATGCATGAGAATCCATGGTGGCTGTCAGGTTCCCTACAAAATGAGTTTTCAACGTCTTGTGCTGCATGAGAGATACCCAAATATTAGAGTTCCTGGAAGACAAAATGTTCACGAGTTCCATTGCCCCGACGAACCTGGGGATAGACAGGACAAAAGATACTGATAAAATAACTAACTAAATACCTCCCAGAGATCTCTTGCTTCGACGATGCTGTTGAGAGGAATTCCAATGTCATCCCACTGGGCGGTAATAGAATTACGCACGGGGCCTCGGTTGACTAGCAAAACAGCTACCCTATAGCCTGTGAGAGGCCCTGCCCAGATCTGACGAGACAAAAAAATGGAGTAACAAAGAAAATGCTCAATGATTTTACACTAAGTAAACAAGTATGGTATAACTAATATGGGCCAGTAAGTTTACCTCAAGATCACCTTCCATCCTAACCTTCTTAGCTTGTTCCCCATGTGGATCTATATCATAAATGGTCAAGAGGAACCTCCATTTAGAGAACTACGGATTTCATTGATGCAGACATGGACTGATCACAAGATGAAGATAGGGTGTCAATGCAAAGGACAATCTGATTACCTTGATTAACAGCAATAACCTCCTTATTGGCAACAATCTCCATTGTCTCTTTCGTCATGTTCCTCACGTCACAACCAAGAAGAAGGGGAGCCTGTATACAACTAAATTTCACTGAAACAATTCTCCAAAAAAAAAAAAAATTGTCTCACATAAAGCAGGACATCAAAAGGAAGACGTTGCCTAGAATACCTTTGATATGGCCCAAATACTGAAGTGCACTATATACTCATCTTTTGTCATCCCTCCATTCCCCACCTCAAGCATGTCAGGATCTGTGTTAAAAAAAGAGAGAGAAGACCTGAAGTAAAGATAAGAAAAATTTGCTAAAACATCTCTCTTGGTAAAACATTTTCTCAGTAACAGAAAATACAAACCATTCCAACCACCAGGCCTTGCAAGCTCTGCATAGACCTCATTCATGTCTGCTCTTGAAACCATACTGCCAATGAGCATAGAATTTTTGTTTAGAATTTCAACCCCAGATCCTTTCAAATCGAAGAAAAAAGCATACTGTGAGTATGATTTACCTGTCCCATGTATCAGAAATATCATTAGTTGTCCTCCAGCTATTTCCTACCTTAGCACCCCATGTTGCAGGGTGCATGTCTCCCCTGGCAAGCAAGCAAAGAAAGCCATCAAGCCAAGATGAACATGAAGATGCACAAAGAGCTAGATATCCATAGTCATAATATATTGGGTTACCATTCACAAAGTGAGAAAAATATAGGACGGCCAGTTTTCATCAAAGCTCGGGTCATTACAGGATATCTACAAAGAAGAAATCATGATTTTGTCACGTTGAAGCCTGGAATATTAATTTGACAACAAACAACAGAAGCACAATACATTTTACAGTGTAATGTAACTAAAGACATGATCAGATCACCTAACAGTTGGCTTTGTTCCATCATTGTTACAGTTATCGTATTTCAAATAATCAATACCCTGCAACAAAGTAAATTGATGAAAATGATATCGTCTTCCACAGGTGTAAGATTTTGCTGGATTTCCTAAACTTAAAGAAAAAGGTATCTAGTTTTGTACCCATGAAGCAAAAGTCTTAGCATCTTGTTCTTCATGATGAAGTGAACCAGGCATGGTTTTGCTACAAGTAAAATACCTGCAAGATACGTGGTGGATTAATTCTTCTACCAAGATGCTATCTATCTTTCTGAACACATAGCATGAGACATGTCATATATTTCTGTTTAGGGCAGGCAGAGTAGAAAGACAATTACCCTGCATCTGAGTAAATTCCTAATTTAAGACCCTTGCTGTGAACATAGTCTGCCAAGGCTTTAATGCCGGAAGGAAATGTTGAATTCTTAGGCACTAGATTACCCTGAAACTCAAACTCAGTACAATTCAGCGCCAGTACAACTCTTTCAACAAGTTGAAATTAAATGCTTTAAATATAATATTTCAAGCAAATAGCACTTTTATAATGAAGAAAACTGAAAAGAAAAGAAGAGAAGGGGAAGAAAATGCTTACATACCTTGACATCACGAACTAATTCAGCCCAACAATCATCTAATATAAATGCATCATCTCGTTAACTGCTTATTAAATCAATGATAATAGAAAATAAAAGCAACGCAAGAAAGACAAAGAACATGGAAAGAAAAAAAATGTAATTGAAACATACACACATACCAATGTTAACATATGTATAGCCAAGTTTAGAAAGACCGGTGGAAACCAGAGCATCAGCTGTGACGTAAACAAATTACGCAAGATAGAATATAGAGTCATCAGTGAAGTGCCTCCTAAGACTTTAGGAATCGCATAATGCTTTACTATATAGTAGTATAAACTATGATATTTTGGACAACATCCACATTGCTTAATTAGATTTTAATGCATGCATACGTGGATGGAGAACAAAAGAACAAAGAAGTCACTCTCACCAGTCTCTTTGATAATTTTCTCATCGATTTTGCAATTGAAGTGATTCCAACTATTCCATCTACATCAACACCAGAAACAAATAAATGAGCGCGGTCGTGATGTTGAAGATGATATAACAAGGAAAAACAACAACGACAACAAATTAAAATACCAACCATATATATGGTAATAGTAATACTACTCGTCACATTCTCCACAAAAAAGAAGAAGTAATAATTGTAATTCTAACAGCGTTACCACACACACAAAGATTCCTATAAATATGAGTCAGCGACGAATAGAAACTTGAAGGGCTTTGATGATAATTAGAGAAAAGAAAGTCCAAATTGGTTACCATTTACTGTGTATTTTTTTCTTTTGGGTTGGGACCCGAGTCCTGACCATGGTATGAGTAGTTGGTTAATGGAGTAAAAGTGATACATGATGATGAGACAAGGGGACAGTCAACAAATTAAAGGATAAAGTAAAAGCAGAGATAGCTGAAGACTGGTGGATTAGGAAATCAATTGAATAGACAATTTAGGCTTTAATATATATATATATTCTGATACTGATAGGATGCGCTGTAAACACCAGAAATCCAATCAATGCTGGTATATATATATATTCTGATACTGATAGAATGCGCTGTAAACACCAGAAATCCAATCAATGCTGGTATATATATATATTCTGATACTGATAGAATGCGCTGTAAACACCAGAAATCCAATCAATACTGGTCTAAAGCTTTTCCAATACTGATAGGATGCGGTGTAAACACCAGAAATCCAATCAATAATGGTCTAAAGCTTTTCCAATACTGATAGAATGCGCTGTAAACACCAGAAATCCAATCAATACTGGTCTAAAGCTTTTCCAATTACCCCTAAAGGCCTAAATTGAAAAGAGAGGGAAAAAAACCACTATAGACAAATTAATTAAGCAGGTGTGCGCAGTGGAGTAGGGGTAATTAGGCGCGTACCCCATGGGAGGAGCGTTGGCAAGACCATTTGCAAGTAGACTTCTTCTACTGCCCCAGCTTGACGGAAGTCCGACTTTTCTTATTGTTGAATCGGAATCAACACTAGCACCACCGGGGCTGCCCCTGGTGACTGACAATGAGGAGGGGGAGAGACGAGTAACAGCAGACACACTGCTAGGACTACTCCCGTGAGTAAACAACTACTACCAATAGCACCACTCTCCATTTGCTTGCTTCTATGGCCAGGAACGTGGGTACGAAAGAGAAGGAGAGTAGCAACCAGCAAGCCTCCACTACAAGTCTATATAATACTATTCTATTATACTAGTCTGTTAGACAGGGACAGTGAAGACTAAAGGGTAATGGGTAGATCCGATGCAGTATCGATGAATGTGATGGATGGATGCCCGATGCCCACTCCCTTCCCCATGTGCGTACAGCGTACTTATAGCCACGTTTTCTAAAGGATTACAGTATAGATAGAGCGGTATTTGTCTATCCTACATTTAATCCTTTTAGTTTATCCTCGTTCATGTCATGGATAAGATCCTTTTTTTTTTTTATTGATTAAACACTAAAGCAGTGCACATTTCCTCCTTGATTTTCTCTCGTTTTATAATCTTCTCGAACAGTCTAAGATCCTTTATATAATCTCAATATTTCCAATTGTTTGAATTTCATTACTACGTGCTGGTGGTTCTGAGACTGTTAGGAATCTTAGGATAAGAGCCTCGTATTTTTGACCAGCTTAACAGATTAGTCAGTCGAAGTATCCACAGCTAAGGAATATATCAGCATCTCGTTCGATAGAGTGATTTTATCACCATTACTGTTATCATTACACATACAAAGTGCAACATTATCTAATTTACACAAGTTTTCGAGTCCTCTTTTTTTTTCTACTGTAGAAAAAAATTATCACTCATTAATAGTAATGAATAATGCTAAATAAATTACTGATTGGAAAAATTTTAAATTCAAAATTGTTATTTTTTTTGCTTTTATAAAAAAAATTGATATTGTCAATAAACGGTCAATCGATCATTTTCCATTTATCTTTCATCACCACCGACACTTCGATTATCAACGGATCCTATGCGGTCTGTGGGTTGGCACCAATTAACGCTGAAGCGGCCTTGCACAAATCCTGACCCATTAAATTGCAGCCCAGGCCAGGCCCAAAATGAATCAAAGAGCAGCCACGCACAGGCAGGCTTTCAGTTCATTAATTAGAAAAAGGACGACGTGTATTTTAGGTTTAGATCGACGACATGTCTCGTGTTATTGTTCCCGCTTCTGCTTTTTTTTTCTTCTTCCTTCTGTCTTTAGTCACACACCAAGAGAAGCAGACGAGAAGGGAAGAGGAAGAGAATGGGAAGTGTAGCAGCTCAAATTCCGACGAGCTTTGGACACGAGCTCAGAGCTTGTCTTCGTTGCCGGCTCGTTAAAACTTACGATCAGGTTTTCTTCTTGTTTTTTGCTCCTCCCCTTCTGTTTCCGTACAAATTGTGGAACTTTAGGGTTTTGGGCTCTTTATTTATCGGTAAAATATTCAAGATAAAAATTGCAGTTCAGAGAGTCGGGATGCGAGAATTGTCCCTTTTTTAAGATGGACGAAGATCACGAGCGTGTGGTTGATTGCACAACTCCTAACTTTACTGGGTAGGCTAATCATCTTCTTTCTTTTCTTTTTCTATTGATCTCAACAACAATTCCTCCTGGTAATAATTGCTTTCTCTATTTTGTAAGTTCTACCGTTTCATCTGTTTTTTTTTCTTCTCATCTTATTACATGCCTTACTTTTTCTGACGTTGTTGTAGGATAATTTCTGTCATGGATCCGAGTAGAAGCTGGGCGGCTCGCTGGTTGAGAATTGGTTTGTTGAACAATAATTTCTGACTCTTCTTGTTCCTTTTTGTTTCTGCTTTTCGATGCTTCATGTTTTCCTTCTTTGTTTTGTTTTTCTTTTTTTTTTTTACTTGTTTTGTAGTTTTAGCTTATGTGAATTTTCAGAGCTGTTTCCAACCTTCCAAAGACATAATTCTGAATAATTATAGGATTGAGGCTAAGAAGTATTCTTCGAGATTTGCTTAACATATGAAACCTACATGTTAGGAAGTAAATACTATGCTAGGAGATTTAAGGGTGATTTTCTCTCTATTCACAATCTGATTCACTAACTTGAATCAATAATTATCAAAAGAAATGTTTTCTTGAGGCATAAGTTGTCCTGATGCTCCTTTTCCTATGGTATTCACATGTTGATTCCAACACATAGTGATGGTGGAGTGAAGCTTCTTTATTTAATGAAGGGCATTTCATTCAGAGCGGATTAGAGTTGTTAGGATGCTTAAAGCTTACAAATAAGCTATCTGTTTAAGTGTCTTTAGTTGTGCAGCAGTTTCTGCATAACCATAGAAGTGGATGATTTTGGGAATTTTGATATTCTGAACATTGTTCAGTTTATACTACCTTGTAGTTCAATTCATCTCCTTCTCTGCTTCGAATATTCTCCTAATTGATTTTCCCTTATTACTATGGACGATTTTGGGGCATTCCATTCGGAGGATTAAATTGACTGGATATCTAGATGTAGAAGAATGGCTATGCACACAATTCTTGTTCTTTTCAAGGCATGGTTTGATACCCTAAATGGTGGTTGATACTTGAGTACCTTGATATATATCTCCCTCTCAGATTCTTTAGGTCGCTCTTTTTCTCTTTTTGAAGATTTTTTCCCATCTACAATTCAATATCTGATTATGTTAGTAGAAAATTACTTCTTTTTGCCTGATTCTTTTTTTAATATGTTTCAGGAAGATTTGTACCTGGTTGTTACACACTTGCTGTTTCAGAGGCACTTCCAGAGGACTTACAGGTATAATTTATCATACCAAGTACAATATAGATGCTTTGTTTAAGCTTATTCAATATATACATCAATTTTGCATCTTAGTTAACTAACAATAACTGTTTCCAGTTAGGATAAAGTATTATAAACATCATGCTGCATTTGCATGTTAGTGATGTTACCCATCCATATCAATTGTTTGTTTAATAGTTTGTGTGTTGATAGGATGTTAGGCATAAAGTGTTTCTAGTCAGTGGAAAATTACTACTTGCTACTCTTTGTTGCTGGAACGTGTAAAACTTTATAGAGACAACTCATGTTGTACATATGTTTGGGAGTTGATTTGTAAAAGGATTCACTGTAATGCTCTATTACTGGAAAGCTTGTGCTAACTCCAGAGCATGCCTGCTTGCACCATTCAATCCTATATTTTACTGGTCTTTCCATCTGGTGCATGTTTGATTGTGTCTTCCCAGACAATGAACAGTTGAACTTTCTTTCTTTCCTCCTCATCTTCTAAGTTGAAAGTTGGATCTGGCAGCATATTCTGTTTCTCTTAGTACCTGAAGTTAAAAGCCCATGATGTCCTCGTTCCCTGAACTGGGATTATGAAAGAAAAAAAGTACTTTTTACTATATTCAATGGGTTAGTCATAGGATTGCATGAGGTGATGGTAATTGAAAATGTAGCAGTCATCTTCTGTTGGTAGCTAATATTATGAAATGGTCATGGTTATGAATTATGATGAGATATAGGTTGAAGATTCTCTTTTAGTGCATCAATACTTTTCATCGTAGATGAGAATGTACGACAGAAACCTCTTCTCTCTTTGAATTTTCTTCCTCTTTTTTAAGAGCCGGAATGCATGATGTGCACATCAAGAATATTTGCGTGTGTTAGCGGGTTCTGTTAGTTCTTTATTTGCTATTTCCAATGGGCTGTTACATTCTCTGATTTGTATATTCTGCTCCGTCTGGACTGACCATTATACTGGCCTTCTTGCAGAATTTATGTGAAGATGAACGGGTGCCCTACATTCCACCGAAACGTGTATAAAATGACTAGCTGAAGTTATCCTGCCTATCACCCAGCTGTAGCATCTCAAACGATGAAATATTTTTGACATTGATTAGTTGTTAGATCCATGAGACGCCTTACACAACTATTGTACTGCTTTCCTAGCTACTAATAGATAAGAGTCTCATTGTTATTTCATTGATGCTGTTGTATGGGAGCCTTCTTTTTTTTTTCTTTTTTTTTCTTTTTTAACAAAGTGTGCTCAAGACTGCTGATGGTGTGAAACTTTGGTGTGTGATGGGAAGAATGGGTTTCGATAAATTTTGTCCGGAACTGGAAACGGAATCTTCTGGTGTTTTCAATAGCTAACGGGTCGGATGTTTATGAGCTCATTTCGACGGATTTCTATTGGGCTATGGTCAGACTAATGCAAGATAGATTTATTATAGGTGCGATTCATTTTTGGCTTAGCTGTGAGGATAGCGTGTAGGGGTTTAGCTACAACGACGTAGTGAGTGGGGGAGGATTGTAGGAGCAGCTTGACTCTGTTGGTAAACAAACATCATGGATTCAAATTCGGAGAAAAAAGGATGCTTTGTGGAATGCACTAGAAATGGTGGGTCATCCAATGAGAAAGAGACGGAATTTCCATGAGCGAAAACCGATGGAAGGAATCATTGAGCGTTTAGGAAAAGAAAAGGAGAGAAAAAGTGAGGGTTCATTTTTTATGGGGAGAGAACTAAACGGTGGGCCGTGGCGCTGCTGGTTATTGGAAAGTGTTAATACAAGGGAACATTACTAGTTGCTGCAACAAGACACAAGCAACATGCTTATGCCAATTCCAATATGCTTTCATATCTTCGTCCAAATTCAAATCTACCACGTGGGTGGTGGTGTTGCTTTGCTTAATGCTTCGCCGATCCATCATGCGTGTGCTATACTGCTAAATAATGTAATCTAATGGTAGTGGTACGGTGTTTTTTTTTTTTTTTTTGGATATACTAATAAAAAAAAAGAAAAGTAGTAGTCTGGAAATAGGAAAGGACGGATAAAAGTGGAAGCGTGGAATCTTCCGTTGCGTGGTGATGGTATATTCTCAGTAGTGCATATTTTCGTTGAAAAGGCAAAAAAAAAAAGATAAATGGTTTCAATGATCCATCCACAGTTTTGTTTTTTGAGCTTGAAACTTTAAATTTGGTATATAGATATTCTGAATGTATCCGATAAATATAATATAAACGATGTATTATTAAAATAAAATTTTTAATTTTAATTAAGGAATAAATTGATTTTAAAATCACCTTAATCCTAGAAAAAAGAAATAATTAAAAGAGTAGCAGTAGCTGAAGTCTTAGTATTAGTAACATACTCCTATCTGTTGATATTTATTAGACAGAGAGAAAGGGTGAAAGAGACAGGAGAAAGACCGGAGAGGCGTGGAGCAGCTACCCACTTCGCACGAGCACTTGGTTTGGGTAAACTTACCACCGTTTCTTGTCCTTTCCTTCTTCTTCTTCCTCTTTCATTATTCATCATACATAATAATTCATTGACTTGTTGTTTTCTCACAGTAAGTTGTTGAAGCTCAATCAATAATTTCTTCTTCCTCCTCCTCTTATTCTGTTGGATCTGTCGGTTTCAAACACCGAATGAATGAAAATTGATCTAGATACATAATAGATACTGTCTTTCTTTTTTTCTTTTTTTCTGATGGTGATATCTATGTCTTTTTGATTGAATTATTATTTGTTTTTGTGGCAGAATTCAAATTAATAATTAAAAAAAAAATCAAATGGCCACCATAGACATCGAAGGACTCCTAAAGGAGCATCAGGATGATGAAGAGGGGCGTCTCCCCAAGACTAAGATCGTTTGCACTCTGGGACCTGCTTCTCGATCCGTTCCCATGCTCGAGAAGCTTCTCAGAGCTGGCATGAACGTGGCTCGCTTCAATTTCTCCCATGGCACCCACGAGTACCACCAGGAGACCTTGAACAATCTCAGGATTGCTATGCAGAACACCAACATCCTCGCTGCTGTCATGCTCGATACCAAGGTCTCTTTTCCTCTCTCTCTCTCTCTCCATTAATTACTGCCATTAACCTCATTCATTCATTTTCATGGTTTTCCTTTTCTTTTCTTTAGTACTGTTTATCTTAATTACCTCATTCTTCCTTCCATCTATCACCCTCTGTCTCTCTCTCTAATTCTAATTTGGATCATAGGCAACTGATGATGCATTGCTTCCCGGAACAATTTTATTAACTAGTCATCTGCAACCTCCTCAGTTTCTCTCTTGATGAGATCCATCATCTATTCCCTTTTTTTGGACAGTTAACGAAGCAGACCACTTATTTTTCCTGTCTTTCTTCTTCCTTCTACTGACACACACATGCTTATGTTTATTTATTTACCTATTTAACTTTTTGCCTCAGGGACCTGAGATTCGCACCGGTTTCCTAAAGGATGGAAAACCTATTCAACTGAAGGAAGGTCAGGAAATCACTGTTACTACTGATTACAGCATCAAGGGTGACACAGACATGATGTCAATGAGCTACAAAAAACTGCCTGTGGATGTCAAGCCTGGAAATACCATCTTGTGTGCAGATGGCACCATCACCCTCACTGTCTTATCTTGTGATCCACAGGCTGGAACTGTCAGATGCCGTTGTGAGAATACTGCAATGCTTGGCGAGAGAAAAAATGTTAATCTTCCTGGTGTTGTAGTGGATCTTCCCACACTGACAGAGAAGGATAAGGAAGACATCTTGAGATGGGGTGTTCCCAACAACATTGATATGATTGCCCTTTCTTTCGTTCGCAAGGGTTCCGATCTTGTTAATGTGCGTAAGGTTCTGGGGCCCCATGCCAAGCACATACAGTTAATGTCGAAGGTAGAGTGCCCCCTGTTGTAGTCTGTTTGAGGTCATAAAATAGCGCATGCATGCGTATGAAGGCATGATTGAGCTTATATGTTCTTGCAACTGCATCTCTATATCCAGGATGTTAGTTGATATAATCTTTTCTCTATCATGCTTCTTGTTTTTTTTTTTTTTTTTTTTCAATCAAATAATAAATAATTTGATTTCTCTGGTTTTGTTAGGTGGAGAACCAGGAGGGAGTGATTAACTTTGATGAGATCTTGCGTGAGACTGACTCTTTCATGGTTGCTCGTGGTGATCTTGGAATGGAGATTCCAGTTGAGAAGATTTTCCTAGCACAAAAGATGATGATATACAAGTGCAATCTCGTCGGCAAGCCTGTTGTAACTGCTACTCAGATGCTCGAGTCTATGATCAAGTCTCCTAGGCCAACCCGTGCTGAAGCAACTGATGTTGCTAACGCTGTCCTCGATGGCACTGATTGCGTTATGCTCAGTGGTGAGAGTGCAGCTGGGGCCTATCCAGAGCTTGCAGTCAAGATCATGCGTCGAATTTGTCTCGAAGCAGAATCCTCCCTTGACTATGCGGCCATCTTCAAGGAGATGATAAGATCAACTCCACTTCCTATGAGCCCATTGGAGAGTCTTGCATCCTCGGCTGTACGTACCGCTAACAAGGCCAGAGCAAAGCTTATTGTGGTGTTGACACGTGGTGGGTCCACGGCCAAATTGGTTGCCAAGTACAGGCCAGCTGTTCCAATCCTTTCCGTGGTTGTCCCTGTACTGACTACTGATTCATTTGACTGGACCTGCAGTGATGAGACCCCTGCAAGGCATAGTCTGATATATAGGGGCTTGATTCCCCTTTTGGCAGAAGGATCGGCCAAGGCCACGGATGCAGAATCTACTGAGGTGATTTTGGAAGCTGCTCTAAAATCAGCAACGGTGAAGGGGTTGTGCAAGCCCGGGGATGCCGTTGTTGCACTTCATCGCATTGGAGCTGCCTCTGTTATTAAAATATGCCTAGTGAAATGAGCAGGTATGTGGTGCCTTAGACATGGCCAGAGAGGGCATCAAGATGGAAGTTAATTGCTAATCAGATAGTATCTTTTATGCTTATATTTCTGTGTGAACAGTTACTGAAGAATTGGATTGTTTCCTTTCGTCTTTCCCGAGTCATATTATGGTACTCTTATCTCCGTATTTTGATTAGGTGGGTAGCACTTGAAATAAGAAGCAGGCCCTTATATTTTCTTATAAAGACTAAGCTCTTAGCTTATTATTGAGTAGTTCATGCTAGAAATTATGATTGGAGGAAGCGGTAACACTTCTTCCAGCAGAATACAGAAATGACATCCTTGGTCCTTGGGTTACAGTACAGCACCAAACTAAATGACTTTACCAGTAATTAAGACAGATACTTCATCGAGCAAGGCTTTGTAATTCGTTTATGCAACAACTATCATGTAACGTGCAAGGAGAAAAAGTAAAAAAGAATACCACTTCGGGTCATGCGCTGAATTAGGATCAAAGCAGAATCCCCCTTTGGCTATGGAGTCATCTTTGAGGAGATGATGAGGTCGACTCCACTGCCTATGATCCCATCGGAGAGCCTTGCTTCCTCGGCTGTTAGACTAACAGTCATCAGCCGATTGATGCCAAGCACAGGCTAGTTGTTCCAATCCTATATGTGGATGTTCCTGTATTGATTACTGATTCGTTTGATTGCTCATATAGTGATGCGAGACCCCGGCAAGGCTTAGTCTCTTAAGGGCTTGAATCCCTACTGGCAGAAGGATCTGCCAAGGCTAAGGATGCAGAATCTACCGAGGTGGATTTTGAAGCTGGCTAAAGTCAGCAAAAGAGAGGTCAATGTGCAAACCCGGCATCGAGCTGCCACTGTTATTAAAAAGTGCATATCCAAATGAGCACGGATATGAAAACTGCCTTAGGCTTGGTTGTAGAGGCTGCTAGATGGAAATTAGTTAGTGTCTTTTATGCTTATCTTTCTGCGTGCGAGGGTTTCATTATTTCCTCGATCTATCCTGAGTCATTTTACAGAGTACTTTTTAACTCCCTTTTAATTCGGCAGTGCTGATGGTGGCTAGCATAGCAAATAACAAGCAACGCCCCCTCCATGTACTTGTGACGACTAGTTCTTACTAGAACAAAAAAGTCCAAAAGTAACAGAACAGATCTTACTATGTTGAGCAATTCCAGGCCTAGAGTGCCTCAGACACATCTGAAAGAAAAATGCAATCTAAGGATGCACGACATAACCAGTTGACACAATGTTCTCTAATGATTGATTTCTGATTTCTGATACATCTTGCATTCTCAACTGCGAAGCATTACCTAAACTACAACTTGCACGCGTTTTCCTCCGAATTGTAACCAGGACGATTCCACCTTACTCTACGCTGACGCGTCACTTATGAAATAAAACAACATTATATAGTCTTCTATTTCAACGGCACTGTCAAGCATCATCACGTAGGAATAATAGAATTCATGAGACATTAACAGCAAATCATGCTTAGTAATACTTCTTCCAGCAGAAATCATGCAATGCCGCCCAAAATTTTGCAACATTTTCAAGAACAACTCAATGAGAGCCTCCAGTTAGAAAAGAACTTGGACAGCAAAATTCCCTTGGCGTTCCCAATTCCTCTCAATATAAGGCACAAGATAAAGTCACAACACCCTAAGTCAAGATATGATCCTGAACAACCTGATTGAACATGCTTCCTCCAGATGGAAAGTCCAATATGTACAAGGTCTCCGCTCTTGGCCCAGCAACTTCTTTCAAATATGGCCACCTCATCAAGTCTTGGCCACCAATTACACCTAATTCACAATGCCTCCTTCAGATGGAAGGTTCTAGCCATGTCACGGGCATTATCATAATCATTCAGTTCCACCAGCATCTTCTTCAATCGACGAGCAAGTCCACTAGTCTCAGTCTCGGTCACACCTGAAACATGCCTTTTCTCCAGTGTCCTTCCTGTTGATAAAATGAAATCCACCAGTGGTTGCAACTTACGGCTGCATAATCATAAACAGGAAACAATCATTTAACATGAAGCTGGAACAATGTGAGAGACACCATATCACCAATGCCAAAATCTTCTAAAAGAAGGGGAAGGTGACATACATAGATGCATACATAAATATATATGACAGACCTGTGTGTCTGAGACTAGAAACTGGTATTTTGAAAATTTGATTCTAATAAACACGGCAGCATAGGCAATCAAACCATACCATAATAATATAAACTAAGTCAACTAAATGAATTTTGTCCAAGTAATTCATAGAAATGGCAATCGCACCCAATTAAAGCTCAATCAAAGATAAGATTCAAGCATATTCTTGGCACCTGCGATCACTGGTAGCACTTGGACCTGCCCACACTCCAGATAAAGAAGCAACAATCCTTTCAGTTCTAGTGACAGCATCATGAACATTTGATGCAATGCTTCGAACATGAGGCAGTACCTTCCCACACAAAAGCTCATCAAGGACAAGCTTCTCGAGAACTGGTAATGCCAGGATATCTTTCCACAAGCAGATATTCCTCATCAAACGAACAGACATGCCAAAACGATATGCTGCAACTCGTGCAGCACTTGGCACGGCCTTCAGCACAAGTGGGTTCCATGTTGGGACCTAAGATACAGAAAGTACAGAAAGTGAGTGGAGAAAGAACAACAATGAGTGTCTCTCTCTCTGTGTGCATGGGGGGTGGGGGTGTGGTTAAGAATGGCTTTTAGGTTGAAAATGTGTACCACTATACTATCAACAGCGTCGGCTAGACGGGTGCGGATTGCAACTAATAGCTCTGAAAGAGCCTCACTAGAAACTGGAACATAATTTATAACCAAGCTTGTGGCAGAAATGGCATTTTTCGTCTCTTGAGTACTAAGCATGTCCCAACAGTGGGCGATCTCATGATGCAAAATAGGAATTGCAATCTTCTCCACTAGTCCAGGAACAAGGTTAGTGTCAGCATCATCAGGACTGAGATCACTTCCATCTTCTGACAGACCATAATTAAATAGTAGAGAGTGCCTGCGTAGGAGAGAAAAAAATATTTAGTGCTAGAAAATCAAAAAGAAGAATCTAAAGTATGCGTGTGAGATTGTCAAATTATGGAGTGAAATTCTATGCATGTAGAATGAATTTACAACCCCGAGAATCAACTCTGTTCATCAAGAAAACAGAGAGTAAAACCTAAATATAAGGATCTGGAAATTCAGTATTTGAATGGAATTACTAGCAATGCTAGAAGCATATACCATTTCATATCAAAAAAATCTGCATCCTCATGAAGCGGGTCCCATTTTAGAAGCTCCAGTCTCACATAAGGAGAAAAAATAGCAGGTGCACTAAGTGACATGTAAGCATCTCTATAGCTTGCAAAATATTCTTTCTTCCATGTTTCAAATCTTTCTTTTACAGCTGCAAGTTGGGAATATTCCTCAGAAGCATCACTGAAGATTTCCTCGGCAGTCCGGAGCAACAAATCACGGTTTGACTGGTAAGCAGCACTTTTTTCACTGTCACTCTCATCTGTGCTCGATTCCCCTTCAATTTTCTGGTCAGAACTATCTATCTCCATGGATGACAATCTCTTTGCATCAAATCGAGCTTTCCTGCGTTGGCGAGCCTTAGCCCTCTTCTCCATATCCATCCGTTTCTGTAAGTTGATATCTCTGCCAAATTCATCTAACTTCACTGGTAGATTTGCTTGATCATCCAAGCAAATTAATGCAGCTGCTGCGGCGCTTTTGGCAGCATCAACCATTGCTGCAGAACTACCTCTTGCACTGAAAACTGACATTGCTGCTTTCACTGCTGCTTCTACCTCCATCATTTCATCATCATTGTCAGCAGTTCTTCTTTCTAAAAAAACTGATGCGCGAGCTTCATGAAGTTTCTGCATCCGCTCTTCAAGTTCCTCTATTAAAGTAGCTTTATGCTGCAAAGAGAACAAAATTACATCAAAATGATAACCACACATTAACGAGAAACTCCCTGCCTGCAGGAAGCTAAAGATTAAATAACATCATCTCATGCAGATTCTAATGTTAATGATGTGGAGAAAAACATGTGTGAGAGATTGGCACTGGCACTGATCATTAATCATAAAGTTTTAGATGTTGACTGAAGCTCTTGTTCACATAACCTGAGTGCAAGAAGTGCTGTGTAAATGTAACTCCCAAGTTCCAAGGTCAGTGTTCTACATGCTCTTACCAGGTATTGTTGAATGCAAAAGATGATTCAAGTGCCAAGGTCTCACAGATGAAAGGCGCAAAAAAATAAAAAATCTATTTGCTGACCTAGACATAGTAGAGCACAAATTTTTCATAATCTAATGTAAATTATGTTTGAGATGGCATGCTTGCATGAAATTTCCTTCTCAAATATTGCATTAACATTTATGTGACTTTCCATTCTTTTATCTTATTATGGAAACATATTATTGCAAAATAAAGTAAATCAAAGCATGCCTCCACTAATTTACAATGGATTACAAATTCTAAGACCAAGAAAAAACCAGGGACAAAGTGCTATGAACCAATTGTAGGTATGCAAAGGAAAAACCGACCAAATTGTAACAACTGTTATGCAGAAAGAATTAACTCTTTCTTTCTTTTTACTGACAATCAAATACATATGCAGGACAGAGAATTAGATTAAACTCGTACCTGCAAAAATTCACATATAACAGAAACAAAGTCACGAAGCTTTTGCATAAAGATGAACTTCTCACCAGCAGCAGATATAGACTTTTCAAGATCAGTAACATTCATTAGCGAGGCAGATAAATTGTCATCAGCCTTTGCCAGCAATGAAATTGTTCTACCATGAGATTCCTATTAAAAAAAAACTTAGTTATACATATATTAATCCAGGTGAAGATCATCTACATTAATCCTACTAGCGAATATGAATATGAAGTGAATAAGATTTAAGCAACGCATCCCCAGTGAAGTTTGTATTCAAGAATATTGAGTGAAAGCCAAGGTGAGCTGAACAAGACTATTATGACACTTGTGTGACTTGTGTAGTGTCGCGTTTCCCTTCCATCCAACTAACCATTGCACTCCATGCGTCCATTAACACAAAATCTCCAATTCAGCCACTTCTGACCCAAATAGGGCTCAATTCATGGAAATCTTGTGCAGCAATATTACTATGAAATGCAATACTAGGACCCTAAATTTTATTCTAAAGAACCTTAGGATTAACTTTTGAACGATTCAAATTAGGATATAACAACCCCAAGCACTACCGCATCACCGGAGAATGATTCTATTCTACCATCATGTTAGGAAAATTTGAAATTGGAAAGCACATAACCTTAAGCCTCCTAAGATTGTCTTGCAAAGCTTTATTAGCAATCTCAGCTTGTTGTGGAATAGACAAGACATCCAAACTCTGAGAAGGTCTGAATGCCCCTCCAATGCCCGGAATGGAACCATACGCTGACGTAGGTCTCTGTTGAGGCTGAGATGTAGCAGCACAAGTACTACTACTAGTACTAGTAAGAGTCCTATTCGCAATAGGAGTAGAAGCATCATCCATTCTCTTTCCCAATCCCTTCCTAAATTGTTCTTCCTCCCAAATCCTGTCCTCCTCATCCTCCTCTTCATCAATAATAGCTGCAGTGGCAGCAGTAACATTGCCATCATCCACAACACCATGATGATGATTTCCCATCATAGCTAATGCTTTGGCCTTGATAGCACGATCGTCATCGTCATCGCCATCATCGCCATCAGCAGCAGCATCAAAAACTCCTCCATGAGTAGCAGTGTCCTTGTTCATGGTGCCAATCATGGCAATCCTGGTCCTGAACTCAGGCTCCTCATCGCTGAAGGCACCCTGTTGATTACTCCCAGAGTCCAAGGATATATAATCAGGAGCGGCAGCCCTTGATTGCCTCAACCGCTCTCTCTTAGCCCTAATCTTCTTAATAGTATCCTCGTCAGGAAAGAGGGAATAATCATTGGAGGTGGATTTCCCCAGTCCCATAGAAGCTAATCGATTCTGTGCATCATCAGCATCATCGCCGTTATCTTTATCCTCGTTCTCATCCTCTGAATCGTCGGCGGCGGCGGCGTCATCTCCTAAATGCTGTTTGTTATTAGAAGAATAAGTAGAGTTAGGGTTAGGGTTAGCGGAGGGTTTAAGGAGACCTTTGAGGATTATTTTAGGTTCAGAGGAAGAGGCAGCGGTGGTGGAGGTGGTGGACGTGTTGGTGGATTTAGCTAGGGTTCGAGTGTTTCTCTGGAGTTCAAGAAGGGCTTCCTTAGTATAAACACCAGCTTGGGGTTGGACATTGGATGCTGTTGTTAAGTAGGAGGTTGTTGGAGGTAGTCTGTCTTGGGACGAGGTCAATTTGTGAGAAGAAGAGAAGTTTGCTTTTGGTTTTGGTTTTGATTTGGGTTTGGATTTGGGCTTGGAGGAGGAGGTGATGCGGTTGACAGCTTGTTCTTGATCTTCTTCTTCGTCATCTTCGAAGCTTAGGAGGTTCTTTGGCTTTGTAGATTGGGGTGGTGGCTTGCGGGCAGTGGAAGGGGTGGCTTTGGCGTTGCTATCAGTGTTGGTATCGGTATTCTCATCGTCATCGTCGCCTCGACGGCGGAAGTTTCTGGATTTGGTGGAACCGCTCATTTTTGTGGCTTTTTGTCTATCCGCAGAGGACTCTGCTTTGCCTTCGCTGCACTAAACAAATTTCCGCCCTCTTTAAAATAAATACGAAACAGAAAATGTCCGTAGCAATATTTATCTTCCATAATTTTTAATATGATTTAATTAATCATTCAATATAAAAAATTAAAAATATAAACTTAACTATTATTATTATTTATATATTTTTTAATTATTCATATTTCATTTCAATTTTCTTCTTAATTTTAAAGCATATAAATAGACTTGATTAGTTATTATTTATGTTGAAGTGTTTTATAGAGATTAAGTTAACTCTTTGAAATTGTTATTTTTTATGTTTACTTTATTTCATAGTGAATTCATTTTTTAATCATCTTTATCTTCGATTCTATTATTATTATTATTATTTTACAACACGTTATCAACACGAGCTTCTAACCAATCGAGATAATAGACCATGAAATATGTATATATCAAAAAATTTCAATCATTGGATTGTTTCTCTATATGAATGATCTATTGTTTTTCTACAATAATGATCTATTAAAATATCTAAGTTATGTTTATCATTAACATGTATGCATCTAATTTATGCTTTACTTTAAATATAATGATCTAATATATATGTTTGAAAAGCTTAAATTTTATCATTATATTTGTTTTTATTTCCTAACATTATTATTATATTTTTTATTGTAGAATTTTTATCATATCAAATATCACAAAACTTAATTTTGTGACCTTTGAGATTTTAAACAAGAATTATTGATGATGGATGCTTGATGTTGAGAAAACATTCTTTACTTTTCATACCTCAAATATGCTCTGTAGTAGTAATATAGAGAAAAAAGATTTTAAGAAATATTCTGAACTTATTTCATACTTGCTCGTGGCTAAACAAAATAACTAGTTACCGATGAAAAATCATAAACCCCGCCCAATTAGGTCTACTCCATTCTTTGAAATGAACATGACAACTTGTAATTATTTTAGGCATCGACGAACATGTGGTTGTGACCATGGATGTGAACATAGCTTATAGACATGATCAAAATAATTGGTGCATTGATATATCTTACTAATAATACTTTATCCGATATAGTCTTTTTTTGTAAAGTTATTGACAAGATATAATTATGCTATAATACGAAGATATTTGACTAAAATTAAATATTTTTTACATTATCTTTGAAAAAAAATCGATATGGTAGCTATTTTATTCAAATAAATCAAAGTCAAGTTTAATTGATTATGCATATGCATATTATTTATTTGATCTATATAAAACTCGATCACAATGAGTTATGTATTTTTACACATTGATACAACTATATCACGACGCTCTATGAAACAAACTATAATTGCTATATAATCAAACTATGTAGAAATACAAGCAATTCACGAGGTAAGTCGAGGATGTGTTTTGTTAAGATTAATAACTCATCATATTCAAAAAACATGCGGTTTATCCATTAGCAAGAAAGTTTCAACAATATTGTACAAAAATAATATTGTTTGTATAGCTCAATTGAAAGAATGATACATTAAAGTGACAAAACAAAACATATATTACAAAAATTATTTTTTACACATGGTTTTTAACGGAACGATGATATTAATATTCAATAAATTCGATGAGAAGATGATTCATCATATTTGTTCACTAAGGCATTCCTTAACATAATTTTTGAAAAGATGATTTATAAAATTGAAATGCGTCATTTTAAAAATCTTAAATAATATTTTTAACGAGGAGAGCTCAATATAGAGATCGATGCATACAAAGAATATTATATTTTTTTCTTTCACTAGAATTTTTTTTCATTGGATTTTTTCTAGCCGGGTTTTGATGAGATATGTAACCCTCGTAAAATCCGTAATCGTATAAATATACGTATCGAGATATTTATATTTGTACGTATATACATATATAGTATATCGGTTACGAACGTGAAAATCTGTAACCAAGTCAACATATGTACTAGAATATGTGGTATGTACGTATTTGTTGAGAGTAACGGGTGTACGTCAATATTTATATATAAAAAAAACGTTGGGTAAATTAGTTAGAAAATTTCTTTTATATGGAATAAGTATAAATTAAAAAAAAAGAAGAAGAGAAAGTGCTAATTGCCGAAATTTCGAGAGAAATTCTGAAAATGTAGTTAATTTAATTACTCTCATTTAATCACATTTTGGCCCCTACTTTCTACAAATTTTCATTGACCATCACCTCTTCTTCCTTTAAATTTAAACCCATCATTTCATTAATTTCAGTCACATTTACCTTGCATTTCACCACAAGCTTTTGACACTTGTAATGAACATTGAATGGATGAGATTAGGTGAGATATTTAAGTAAGAAAAAATGGGATAAGGATGCATTTTTGGTGCATCTCGTAGCTGCCTTAAAACCAAGAAAGAAAGAGTCATAGAGAGGGGAGAAAGAGGAAAAAAAGGAAGGAAAAAGAAGGGGAAACTAAAAGGAAGCAAAAGAGATTTTAGGAAAGTTAATCCAATGTAAGTAGGTTTCATTTTTTTTCTTGCTTTGTTTATGCTTTCCATGTTTATTTTATGAGTTATTTAATTCATGTGAAATATGATTATGGTATTTGTGATGATTTTAAACACTTGATGTTTGATGATGGATGGTTAAGCATGTGTGTTGAGAAATGTGCTTTAAGAGAAGATTTTCGGATTTTAGGGGTGGAAAAACCAGAACTTGGTGTGATTTATTTTGGCATCTTAGAGTGATTTTTAGAAATAATGCAAAGAATGAAAGTTGTTGATATATGTGTCTACTATGTTCCTTTAAAATTTAGTGACTTTTAGAGATATATATATGGAGTTATGACTGAATTGGTATGGATTGTTCGGATGGAACCTCTACTGGAAAGATATTTCATTTCGAAAGTTGTGCGATTTATTTCGGGATTATAGAGTGGTTTTTGGGCATAACTCAAAGAAGGAAAGTTGTTCATCTATGTGTCTACTATATGTATCTAAAATTTCATGATTTGTAGATCTGTATGTAAGGATTTATGACTGATTTGGTACGGATCATTGAATGGACCAGCTACTGGAAAAGTTTATTTAGTTCCGAAACTTGTGTGAATTATTTAAGGATTTTAGAATGATTTTTGGAGGAAACTTAAAGAATGAAAGTTGTTGATCTATATGTCTAATATCTCCCCTTAAAAGTTCGTGAGTTTTAGATATATATTTAAGGAGTTACGGCTGGTTTGGTATAGGTTGTTTAGGTGTGCCACTGCTGAAAAATTTTAACCTAAAATAAATGGACTTGGGCTTGGATTAAAATAAATGGGCTTGGACTAATATTAATAGGCTTGGACTTGAGTTAAAATGAGATGGGCTTGGATTTAAAAATAAAGTGGACTTAGATTAAAACAAATGGACTCGGACTTGGATTAAAATAAATGGGCTTGGACTTGAGTTAAAATGAGATGGGCTTGGATTTAAAAATAAAGTGGACTTAGATTAAAACAAATAGACTTGGGCTTGGATTAAAATAAATGGGCTTGGACTAATGTTAATGGGCTTGGACTTGAATTAAAATAAGATGGGCTTGGATTTAAAAATAAAGTGGACTTAGATTAAAACAAATGGACTTGGACTTGGATTAAAATAAATGGGCTTGGACTTGAGTTAAAATGAGATGGGCTTGGATTTAAAAATAAAATGGACTTAGATTAAAACAAATGAACTTGGGCTTGGATTAATGTTAATGGGCTTGGACTTAAATAAAATAAACTTGAAAATGGACTTGGACTAAAATCAAAAGGCTTGGTTTTAAAGTAGATAAGCTTAGATTAACGAAAATGGGCTTAGGCTAAAATAAGTGGACTTAGATAGAAATAAAAAGGATTTTAAAATTTTAAAGAAAATTTATTCTTTCATAGAAAAAAAAAAGAATTGGACATTCTTTAATTATTAATGAAACTAATAAACAATATTAATGAGCGGAGGTTGTGTTCCCGTTATGAGTACCATGATTGGTATGTGAGCGCCGAGTGAATCCCGAATGATGGTTGGACCGTGAGTATGGCTTGAGAAAGAAGGGTCGGTACCCGAGTTTGATTGAATGTGATTAAACATGTCATCGCGTGCATCATGTGCATTGGGGGTGAAAATAAATTGAGAAAAATCATTGAGTCTTGAATTGACATGGTTTGGTAACCGAATTGAGTGGATTGGGTAATAGCAAGGAATCCATAATGTGAGCTCTATTTACTAACACCGTTAAGCGATGGATAATTCCGTTAACCGTGTGCTATAACGAGGGATAATTTCGTTGCGAGCGAGTAGGTGATATTGAGATCACCGAGAGAAAGTAATAGATCGGTAGATGATAACACGATCACCGAGAGATTGGGCGCACGGACTTGCATATACCTAGGGTACTCGGATTAAAATGGATGAAAATATGAGAAACACAATAGCATCGTATATCATGTCCATCACCCTACTTACCGAGCTTTGACTTATTCCGTTATTGTATTTGTGTGTTGTTCAAGCAAAGGCAAAGTTAAGTCGATCGAGGATGCTACCGGTTCTCGTTAAAAGAGGCTTATGTGTCACTCATAAAAATAGAAATATCTTTTGTGTCATTAAAAAGGGGTACGGGCCTAGGTTGTAAATTTTTAGGCATTTTGAATATGTTATAAATTATAGAACTATCCGTAATAATGTTGTAAATCATATCATACGTTTTTCGTGGTTTAATTTCCGTTGTGTATGATGAAGGAAGTAGGGGACTTAGTCCCAACAATGTGTCGCGCGCCGGTCACGCTTGTTAGGTAATAGGTAAGGGAGCCGGGGCGTCACAAGATATGTTCTTTGTATAATAAATATTCAAGAAAAAGTGTTATGAAATAATGAATGTTCATATTCTTTTTATATCCCAACTATTAATAATTCTTAATATGATTGAATTCATCATTTAATATGAAAAATTAAAAAGATGATGCAATTAATTTAACTAT